CTGCCACACCTGCCCCAGCTCCAGCTGTTTAAGAAAAAAAACCTGAAAACCCAGCAGCAGCCTCAGGGCTTCAAGGGGCTCATGGAAGAGCCCCTCGTGGTGTGGGGCAGCGGGGATCACCCCCCCGCCATGCAGGAACCAGTGGAACCTGTTTGTTTTTCCTTTTTTTCTTAAAGGGCCGGAGCTGGAGTGGGCAGGGCAGCCATGGTGGGGGACTGGGACAGTAGGTAGGGGGTACTGGGGGGGGCTTGTGCAGACCCCCCTCACACAGGAGCAGTGGGGATTGCCCCTCCCCCTGGCAGCACCCAGTGAGTCTGCGGCTTTTTTTTTTCTTTTTCAAAGAGAGGGGAGCTGGGGCAGGGGGAGCAGCCATTGCTGGGGCTGGGAGAGCGAGCATGGGACATGTCTGTGTGATTCGGAGATTCGGCAGCAGCCGAATCTCCAACTCAGATTTGGCTGAATCAATTTGGGACTGTGATTCAAATCATTGAATCGAATCACTGTCCCCCAAATTGGTTGAATCTGAATCCAAAGCGAATACTAGCTACTTCTCACAGGCCTACTGTTTATGTTTTAATGTTTAACTGTGTATAGTCTGGTTAAAAAGGGGCCTGATGCTTTATTGCACCATACCCATTTCTTTTTTTTACATTACACTACTACTTAATAAGAACTTTTTTATGTCAGTGGTTAAACATCACCACTTCAGTTCAGGTCTAGAAGTGCAATCTCCAGAACTGCTTAATTCCCAGACTCAACCAATTGGATTTACAGTACTGTCAACTAAAAAGTAGTAGTTTCTCTGGTAGTGTAAGAGTGATGTATCTGTGATGACCCAGAAATTATGTGAGAAGCAAGGATTTCTTAGGGTGATACCTTTTATGTAGTTGGGATGAAGTTAGACAAACTTTTGAATGCAAGATGTTCTTTGTCTGGTCTCTGATGGCATCTGTGCCGTGCCTGATTTTGTGCGATCCGAGACGTGATGAAGAATGTCTTGCATTCCAAAATTTATCTAACTTTATCTCTGCTACATAGTTGGTCCAATACAAGATTTCACCCTAAAAAATCCTTGCATCTCACAGAGTTTCTTTTCAGCAGTTGGCTTGAAGTTCTGTAAAAAAGTATACAAAAGTTTTGTTAAACATATTTTGCTATACCTGTGCTGATGAATTCTGGCAGTATGTGCAAAGTCCCACAATTTCCTGCAACAGCAGTGCAAGATCCATCTGTGTTACTTAGGTTTAGGATTAGATTTTAAAAGAGTAAAGTTGTTAGGGGTGAGTGATTATTTTGGTTAATTTTAAATGAATGATTCGATAAGGTGGTTGTTCATGCACTAACAATGAGTTGTAAATATTGCCTCATTTTTTAATCATACACAATCAAGTGTGTCAAATGGTTGATTTAAAAAAATAATAAAACTTGCTCAGTTGCATTGGGTTTCCTTTAGTTGAATCAGTTAATTTAATGACAGTGCTAATTTTGTGGTGCCTGCAACTCATTTTGCAATTTAGGGAGAATAAAATACAGTGACCGTAGGAACAGCAACCTGCCTTCCTGAGTAGAGTTGGTGTGATTAAATGGAGTTAGTCATACACCCCTCACCTATTCTGCCACACAAATACTGGAAGGTGGAATATTTAAATTTTTAACTTTTTGACTACTTTCTTGGTTCATATCAAAGCATTTGTCTTGCTACTTTAAAATGATGGGGAGGCATTTCACAGAATGGACAAGAGAAAAAAAAATTCAGAGAATTTGTACATGATGTGTTAAATATGGGAAAAACCAAAAGTTGGGGGGGAGTACTATCCAATTAAAAGATCCTAATATCCATATATTTTTACAATGCCAGCTAAAAAATTCTTGTCAAAGAATTAATCTGGTTGTGAAGGCTAAAAACTTGCTTTTGGTTCCTGAAAAGTTTTACAAAGCCCTCAAATCAGAACTAATACATTGGAATGAAGGCGTTCTCCAGGTTTTATAAAATTTTAAAAATCCTCTGTATGATTGTTCAGGAATATAACTTGTGGTTTGCCCTGTCAGTTCTTTCCTTCACAATAGAGGGAGAGAAATATTAATATTCTTGCTTTTTGCTATGAGTTTCTTCATTAATAACAGCACAATAATTTAGCAGGTTGGCACAAAAAATAGCTATTTTTTTACAAACTAAATGAAGTAGTGACAAATAAACTCTTGATGTGTTTGCCCTTTCTGTTTGCTTGTCCAACAGGTCCTTGACCAGTACGAACATGAAGGGTTCAATTTCCTAGCAAAAGTTTTTAATTCCTCACATTCCTTCTTGGAGGATCTGACAGGTCTAACTCTACTACATCAGGAGACTCAAGCTGCTGAGGTAAGAAAATTAACTTGAGACATTAAGAACTAAACATAAGATAGGAAAATATCACCTCTGTTTTAATAGTCAGCTTCAGTATAGGAATAAATTATGCTGATAAGCTGAGCAGTGACATTTTGTTTACAAAATAATTTGTGTATGTTCTAAATGGTGTTCTGATAATGTACCTTTTTAATGTTACAGACTGTAAACACTGACTGGAAAATGCATCTGTTCCCATAGAATTGTAGGGCTAGAAAGGACGTCAGGAGTATATCTAATCCAAGCTCATGCTTAAGACAGGATCATCCCTGTCTGAATCATCCCCTAAATGATATTTTAAGACAAAATAATGAATAGCATATTGTGTAATAGGCCTGTACGAAGTGGCAAGTATTTGCTTTGGATTCGGATTTGGCTGATTCAGAGAGACAGTGATTTGATTCAGAGATTTGAATAACTGTCCTAACTCAATTCGGCTGAATTGGATCTGAATAGTCGACGCTGCTTTGGAGATTTGGCCGTAGGCTAAACAGGCAGTAGTCCTCACCATGCTGGACACAGCTGTCTCCAGCTGGTAAGTCTGCTGTGGTGGGTGGAGGGGGTATGAGGGAGGGAGGGATTGGGGCTGGGGCTGGGACAAGATGCCCAGCCATGGCAGGAGGGTGTGGAACTCAGGAAGCAAGGCATGGGATGCGGGCATGGCAGCGCTGGGAGTGGGGACTAAGCCCTGCTGCCACTTGCCCAGCCTGGGCAGGGTGGGGCACCATGCAGGCGCAGCTCACTCCAGGCAGAAAGAGGCAAGCAGCAGCAGGACACAGCCCCTGTTCCCAGCACTGCTGCACCCAGATCCCATGCCCCCCCGCCCTGGCTGGGCAAGCGGCAGCAGGGCATAGCCCCTGCTCCCAGAGCTGCCACACCCACATCTTGTGCCCCTCCCCAGCCCCAGCTGGACAAGCGGCAGCAGGGCAGAGGCCCCACTCCCAGTGCTGCCATGCCCACATCCCACACCCA